GCTGCGAGGAAGCGGGCTTGACCTCCATGTGAGCTGTGGTCTAAACTCCTAGTATCCCCCTTAATAGGCCCTATGGTAGTCCCCTATATAACCCCCCTCTAAGGAGTTTAGACTATAGCTCATGTGCTGGGAATGGACTCATGGTGGTGCTGAAAAGGTGCTAGTAGGATTGTTCCGCGAAATACAGTCTACGAACTACTATAACTGTAACCTGTACATGTTTCCGTACCTCCCTACGATATCATATGATCACTGCACACCTGTACGTACATTCTCTTAGAGTCTTAGCAGGCTCGAAGATCCGCGTCGACGCCTTTCACATGATGTACCTTACCACTCCAACAAAATCCCCCCAACGCCCCAACAGCAAACCCTATATAACCCTATATTACTATAGTAGTTTCCATTTTCTTTTCCATTATCCCAATATTGGTAGCTTCCATTCTATTTTCCATTATCCCAATAACGGCAGCTTCGGCCTGAAAGTGCTGGAAGCCGGACTGCCTGGCATAGCAAACAGCGCCCATCTTGTCCGCTGTGTCCTCCAGAGAAGATGAAGGTTGTAGGCTTCCGGGTTCGTGTTTAGGATGTTTTTGCGAGGGTTAGGGAATGAGAGCCTACGGATAAGGGGTCTTAGCACAGGCTTTACAGTTGGCTCGGGCTTGAGCACTTCGAGCGGCGGAGGCCGCTAATCATCCCTGAAGACTGAAACTCGCACCCAAAGGCAATCCAAAGAGTGGAATCGGCAGGATGACCCCCGCACGCGATCCAATTCTACAGGGTTCGGTTTTGAGTTCAGGGAAAATTTGGGGTTTGTGTTCATCTTTTAATTGTCTGTTGTCAGGATCTATATCTAGACATTAGGTCGACGGGAGGGGGCCACCATGTCGACCCAAACGAGGATTTCAGTCAGAAATTTGTTAGAGTTGAAGGAAAAGGTGCACTGTTTACAGCCTGGGAAGTTTCCCCGCTCAGTGAAAATCTATGAAAACGCAGAGTCCTGCAGGCGTGCAATCTCGGCCTTAGGCCCGTGAATCTCAATGCGGTACGGCTTCGCGAACCTGGATTGCAGCGTTGTGGCTTGTGCACTACCACTGCCTCAGCCTACCCGGTTCAGTGGATATGGCTTTGTCGGAAATATGTTGAAGACCCTGCTGTTACCATAGCATCATTAAAGGGGGTGGCAATAATATATTGTTGGCGAGCCAGAACAATCCTGGAAGACTACGTTTGCTTGTTAACAAGTTTGGAGCCTGAAAAGCTATAAACAAGTTCCATTGGCAATAATAATGTGGTGGTAATAATAACATAGTCCGCCAATTTCCTAATTTCAGGCTTCTAAAGGCAAAATGCTTTATAGGCTCAGCTTGGAATCTAATTAGAAGCCCTGAGGCTTTCAAGCTGCCAGCCTTAGCCCTCACGAATTCTCCGGAAATCCAGGAGATCCCAAGCATCAGAAACTAAGGATTTCACATTACTCCGCTTATTCGAAAACCAGTTCCAAGAAGCTTTCAAAGGCTACCCCTTACCAAGGTCCTCACAGGGCAATTATAAAGGGGGTGGCAATGATAAACCTCCCTGCAGCAGGCCTGATGTTTTAGAAAACCATGTTTTGAAGCTACACTATACTATACTATGCTATACTTTACTTGTACTATACAGGTACTACTACTAACTTCTACTACTTGGTACTACCCCATTTCCCGGAAATCTAATATTGCGACCCCTTCGGTAAACCAAAAAAGCAAAACAAGTTCGGGGGGATATTATTGTCATGGCAACATTACACTAGACTTCCTAGCCGTGCATTGTCAGGAGATTGCATGCAACTTGCCAAGGATTTTGCACTTGTTCATGTGCGTATGTGCTTAAGGACTTTTTGCCACACCTCAACGAAGCAAACTTACTGGTTCTTGGTAGGGAATATGGGTATACAATCGCCTATATCCCTATATGATATATGCCTATGTTCCCTACTAAGCACCAACAAAATAAAGCAAGGTTTCCCTAAAGCCTAAACCCTAAATCCCATATCCCTCACTAAGCACCAGCAAGATAAACCAAAATTTCCATCCAAACAGGCTACCACTATGGGCTCTTAGACCTTAAGGGTACCTTAATCCACCCTTAATAGGGTCCTACCAGTAATAGGGAATTTGAGGGTTTAGGCCCTAAACCCTAAACCCTTAATAGGGTCCTAATAGGGAATTTTAGGGTCTAATAGCCCATAGTGGCCAAGGAGCTTCGTCAGCCCGCCGCAGGTGGAGACGTTCACCTCATGGTAGGGCACAGGGGATTGACTTACTGGTTCTAAGTCGGGAATATCAGAATTGATTATAGGGTTTAGGGTTTAGGGTTCAGGGTTAGTAGGAATATGGGAATATATTACATAGGGGGTATAAACGGATCTTATTCCCGTATTCTCAACTAACAACTAGCAAGCTGAGGGAAGGGGGAGGATTGGGGGGACCTTGTGTCATAAGGGTCACATGCAAGACAAGTGAAGCCCAGTTTGCACCTTGTTGGTCTTCATGTAGCTTATCCATACCCATGTCAGCGCCCGCTCACACACAACGACCATATCTCGCAGTCCCAAGCTGAAGCCACGAACTAGCATCACAAATCAACCTGAACCACTTGTGGTTGAAACCTCCTATCAACTCAAAATCCATCACTCCCACGGTCATGGTATAAGATTTGGGAGGCACCATGGAGAAGGCCTAGAGCTTTAAGTCTTGACAACTTACTCGGTTTGCGTAGGGAATAAAGCTTATGACTGGCCAGCACGCTTATGACTGGCCAGCTCGCGTCTGTGTGTAAGCCGTACGCCTGCGTGCAACATATGACACAAGCAAAATTCGCACGTGGCCACCATTGCATTAAAACATCCACGCGAACCCTGTGCATGCATGACTCTCCGCATGACTTCCTTACATGCTCCTTCCAAGGTCTAGGGGCGAAGCGGTTGCTGCACAAACCAAAATAGACGCCCTTGAAGTATGTTGCTTACATGCGAAGAGTCTGGGAAGCGCAGCACCCACAGTTTCGAAACTCAACCCTGGACAGAAAGCCTAGTGCCAGTCTATATTCCCCCCATAAATCCTGCACTACAGCAATACGATTCTGTCGAAAAGCTCTGAAATACTACAATTCTGTTTTTAGACCCTTATAAGCCCATGAACCGATACCAAAACCTTCAACGCTCACAGACTTCATGACAGAGTGGCCAAGTGAGCGAGGATGCCATCGGCGCTCGTGTAGCCCTCTCGGCAGAAGAGCTTCGCCCCAGCCTGTCAGTTGTAGGGCTTTTCGGTCTGAGGTTCAGGGATATCGGTTGGAGGGCTTAGGGTCTCCCCGAATGGACTGCTAGACTCCTGCTAGAGGATGTGAAATCATTAAGTAAGGTGATGCAGAGGGACTGCATCGTGCAGGGCTGACGGGGCGTGTGAAGTGATTCCCGGGGTGTCTAGGCAGCCCTTTGGGGCTTCAGGTTGAGATTGCGGGGTTAGAGTGATGAGAGCCCAAGATTTAAGCTTGAGGGCGCAGAGTTTGACATCCAGGGTCAAAGTTTGCCGTTCAGGAGATACATACCTGAAGTTTCTTTTGTGGTTTCCGTACTGCGAACACCTTCAACCTCAGCCCTGGTTCCAGACTACACCCACCCTGACACAAGGCTTAATGCAAAGCTATTTCATAAGTTACACAGTGCTGATTGTGGCATCATTTGGGGGTCGGGCTCATATGAGCTATAGTCTAAATTCCCTAGTATCTCCCTTAATGACCCCAATAGTAGTCCGTTATATAAGCCCCTTTTAAGGAGTTTAGACTATAGCTCATATACGGTGGGGGGGGGGGGGCGGCAGTACAGGATCCAATGATATCAGCCCTCCCCTCCGGCTAACGCTAACCAGCCTGGGTCCAGCCGTAGTAGATGCAGGATTCCTCGCGATCGCTGTTCACAGGCTTAGGGAGTTTGGTATCTGTTTCTTTTTGAAGGGTCTTGGCTACTCCAGGTGGGGTGTTCAGGTTTTGGGGCAGTTTGCATGCAGAATCCTGTGCAACGAAACTTGTTTTTGCTCATGCATCTCGTCTGGGGCAGTCAAGGCGAACAGGCTCGGGAAGTAGACCGCAGGAGTTGACCCATTGTCAAGCCGGATCCCACGGTTCAGGCTTAGCGCTCGGGGCCCAGAGCACGGGAAAGCGGTGATGCTTGCTGGCAGTCGAAAGGCTTTATGATTGCAAGAAGGCTTCGCTTGCGTACGCCTCATCTTCATCACATTGCTTTGGGACAAATTTGCCTACATGGGCAACGATTGCTGCAACACCATGTCAAAAAAAAGAATCGTATCAATCATGAGGCCCCAAAAAAGCCCAATCAAGGAGGAACCTTGGTGGGAGGTAGTATAGGGGGTGTTAGGCAACCCATAACACTAGGGTTTAGGGATGTTTAGGGTTTAGGGTCCCAGGATCCAATGACAAGTGATTGGGTGAGACACCGCCAAAGCAAGCCGAGCACTGAGAGTCAATGAAAATGCCGGAATTCCCAGCCTGCAGCCCTCAACCCTAAAATACCAAACAGCATTCAAGGGATATATAGGGTTATATACGGGTTATATGGGGATAATGGAAAAGAAAATGGAAACTACTGCATTGTAATAGGGTATATATTGGGGTTAAATACCAAACAGCATTCGCTTCCCAAGCCGTGACCCTGACCCACATTTCTTTCTGCAAAATCCTCATGCGCTCGAGTAATCGATGTTTGGAGCCTGAGCAAAACCTTAATTCAAAACGAGCCCGAACTCGCAAGGGGATTCGCAGACACAACCTGAAAACAAGTGGCCCGTAGCGGCTGTATGGTAGTCATAGGGCCATAAGGTCCTCATTTCTCATTCTGGCGGCTCCCAAACTCCCAATGGGCTTTGCAAAAATGAGGTCAGCCCTAATTTTTAAAGCGCCCATATGAGTGCCATCCTCTGCTCGAGACTTCTGCACCAACTCCGTGAGCGCACCCTTCACGCCAGACTCATCCTGCATGCCGCAACACCCTGCCTGTAACCACAATTACCTACGTCGTTGCTGGTCAATTGGGGTTACAAGTAAACCCGAACAAATCCGAATAGCGACAGCACCTGACCATTTTATGATAATCCTCAATATGAGCAAGAGTTTCTGGTGAGGTTGGCATAACTTGGCATAACTTGGCCAGCCCCAATAACGATGACATCATAGGCCAGGCTTCAAAAGCTGTAGCCGCTTCCCCTTCATATTAAAACTCAACCCCACAAGAATCCATTTCCTGAAGGTCTTATATTTGCAACAGACATTATTTTGTGTTGGGCGGGGGAAAGTATCACAGGAAAGGATTCGCATTTATCCCACTTTGACAGCTTTGTATTGGCTACAACCCCCGCCCAAAAAAAAAAACACACACAATCGTCATAAATATGGGACTCTTATGAAGGGCGTCACACTGCTACAAATAAAACCAGGTTATAACAAGGGGGTACTGTTATCAAGTGTGGAAGGTTCGTGCACAAGCAATGCGTGCACGGAATGCTGAGAATAAGGAGGCTGTTGCGAACTGCTATTGCTGATGGACTGCTCCACAATGTCGCTAGCCGCTACACGGCTCTCTAACGCGTCTTCGGACGGCAAAAAAGCACTAATGTAGGCTCATAACTTCAGGCCCTTATGTCCCTCCAATATACGCTGGGCAATGGTGCATCTTAAGAGGAACCCTAGAAGCATGCGAAGCAGGTCATGGCCCGTACGAGGGAACCAGGGTTGATGCCTTTGCTGAACTGGAGCCGCTACGGTTTCAAGCCTTGGTGCTGGGTTTGGTTTCCACATCCTCAGCCACGTTTTGCTAGATTGGTTCTTGTAAGCATTCTCCAGTGCTTTGGATCTTTGTTTTTCGGAGTGGCCTAAAGCTAAAGCAGCCCTACAGATTGATTGCCTGCGTGCGTTAAAGGAATCACGTGCTTGGTGATAAGCCTCAAGGCTCAAAGTACTGAAAAATCAGGCCCTGGGTTGTCAAGACTGAACCGGCATGGCCTAGGGTTGCAGGAATCCGTCCTGGACATTGAAATAGGCATGCATGGTGCAAAGGTCGGCGGGCTTGCTCTCAGGGCGAATGTCCACCAGCTTGAAGTTCACCTCAGACTCCAAGGAGAAGAGCGTGGCACCAAGCTTCTTGGCCGTGCCCATGACCTTCTCCAGCTCTGCTGCAGGTCCATGGAACTCAATGTCTGTGAGTTTCGCGGCACTGCCAAAGGAGCCAACGGCTTCCAGGTGCTGCACATGGGCAAGCACAGCCTCAGCGTTGGCATAGGCTTCGTTGCAGAAGAGCCGGTCGCCCGCCCGATCCCAGGCATACCATAGGCAACCTGCCTCAGCCTTTGTCCTTGCCTCGTAGTTTGCCAAGAGGCCGCCCAGGGCATCCTCATTCATCACCTTGTAGTATGCGTGGATGGAACAGAAATCGCGAAGCACAGCCTCGCCAAGCCTGAGACCAGCTGTGGGCAGGGCTTTGACTGCTGAGGCTAGCTCCACACGCTGGAAGCCCGAGTGCCGTTCAAAGCACTGCGCTCCCATCTGTGCTGCGGTGTCTCGCAGCTTTTCAAGCTGGGCTGGTGGGCCATGGAGCTCCAGGCGCCGCAGTTTCGTGCAACCTGTGAGCCCGGTGCACGTGGCAAGATTGCGAATGTGCGCAAGCACGGCATCACTGTCCAAGTAGCCCTCGCGACAGAAGAGAGTGTCACCTGCCTTGGTCCAGCCATAGTAGACGCAGCCCCTCTCCGTTTTCGTCTTTGCCGCCAGGTTGGTGAGCACGGGTTCTGCCTTGCCCTCATCCGTAATGTCGTAGTAGGCATGCATGGTGCAGAGCGAGGCAGTGCTAGCTTCCACGCCTGGCGCCAAAGGATGCATGAAGCTCGCGCCCTGGTCCTCGGTGAAGAGCATGGCATTGACGGCTTTGGCGGCGTCGCGCAGCTTCTCGAGCTCGACAGCGGGGCCGTGAAACTCGATGTTTGTCAGCTTGGCGGCGCCGTTGAAATCGCCCGCCTTCTCCAGGTTCTTCATGTGGGTAAGCACGGCCTGGGCATCCGCGTAGGCCTCGTTGCAGAAGAACTTGTCTCCGGCTCGATCCCAGGCATACCACAGGCAACCCTTCTCGGCCTTTCGGAAAATTGGAGGGAGATCGTGATACGAGCTCTTTAAAATGTTCACTTACCTTCATGTCCTGATAGCACTTGACAAAAGAAAGTACCAACCCCGCGAGGTATCTTTTCAAGGGCGATTGTATTTCCATATCCCAAAAACCTTGGTGCGCTCGACGAAGTCCTTCATGATGGGCACGGCCTTTGCCTCATCCACCACCTGGCAGGCTCAAAAACCTACGGACACTAAGTTAGGTACATCCATAAATCTGGGGAGAAGTCTACTAGAACGACTTCCCACTGAAGACCCCCTTCAGAACCTCCCTCCTGGAAGTATGCATGGATGGTGCAGAAGTTGCTGGCCATGGCCAAGACCGCAGCTGCAAGGCACAGTGGCGCGGGGCAGCTCTACAGCATCAGACTTTAAGGAGAGAAGGCAGCGCGACAGAAAGATGGGAGTACCTACTGCCTGTTATGGGGGACCAGCGATGCGAGCTAAGGCGGCACAGTGTGAAGGACTGCTTATCACAAACGTCCCTAGGCACGCTCCGGAAACTTCGCATGATGCTATCTGTGCTAGTGACGCAAATCACAAGATTCTTCTGAGATCACAAAGATGCATGACCGAAAAGTTCCAGCGCAAGTGCTACTAGGTTAGGCGCCACTCGCCTTTAACCGCGGACTCTGAGTTTTATGTTGACGGTCCCTATCCATCCTGTGCTTCCTCTGAAGCAAAGTATAGAAAAGGCAATGCTTTGGGTTTTTTCTCATAAGATCGCCCTGTACCCCATATTCGATCTACTTAAGCTTTAGGGGAACTATAGACCCTGAGAAGTAAACCCTACACCCAAGAGCAAGGTCTGCTGGCCTGTGCCGTAGACAACTGCTGGGTAGTAGACCTCAGAATCCGAATCCGGACCACAGCTTTGCATAGTAATCCACGAAAATGCACAGGGATGGGGGGGGAGGGGGAGGGGGAGGGACGGGGGGTGAAGGATTGGGCTTGGGGAGTTGGCAAAACAGGGCTCAGGCATCAAGGATTAAGGCATATAACATGTACATATGTACATATATATACTTATAGATATATATATATATATACATATGGAGAGAGAGAGAGAGAGAGAGAGAGAGCGAGAGAGACAGAGAGAGAGAGAGAGAGAGAGAGAGATATATATGTATATATATTTGTACATACATATTTATACCCCACCCCACCCCACCCCACCCCGGAAAGTTACATACTCCTCATATTCCCACTACCCAGTCCCCTGCTTGTTTCCCCCTCCCGTGACAAGGCCCTGGAATACGGACTACTGGAATGAACCACATAATGAATTCTATACGTGTAGCTTGGGCAGTCAGTAAGGTTAGAAGTTATTGCTGGTGTTTTCTGGTTTAAACGGCTGTTGCTGAAGGTTTGGGTATCACGATTTAGGGATCAGGGTTGTGGGGTTCAGGGATTGGGCTAGCTGTTGGTCGGGTTGATAATCAGGGGTTTTCTGTAAGCATGTATGACAGAGTTTGGGCGGTAGAAACTTTATGAGGGTTCCGCAGTCAAAGCTTGGAGGGCCCGGCTTTCGCACATAGAGTCAAGTTTCAGGCTTCACTGCTCGTGGTTTGAGAGCTCAAGCTTCAACCATAAGGGCTCACAGCATCGGTAACGTTCTAACGAATCAGTGAAATTTTGAACAAGCGAACAGTGAATCGGAGTCGGAGGCTAATTGCGAAATAGTTGTTAAAAGCATGAGAGGATCACAAGACTAATCAAAGAGGGCGCTCAAGAGAGTGCCCTAAAGCCTTGAACCTGTACAAACCCTGGGACGTCCTATGATACTCCTCGTCTTGAATACACGCAACAACATCGAGCCTCTATATTCTAACCCCACATGCAGAAAGCATTTTTCGGCCGCAGCCCTCGTAGAATCCGCGCGTCGGATTTTTGGAGGCGCACCTGTCGGCGTGTGCAAACGAAAGTCCCAAACTTCTAAACTGGAGGTCCCCTTCGTGGGGGCTATAGGAGTACTTCTACAGGTTGGTATAGGGATTGCCGGGGTGGGGTAAGGCCTGTGCTGTTGCGGATGGTTCACAACTCTTGTTGAAATCTCTATAACATGAACATTAGTATGTAACAGTGTATTGCGGGACCCTACGAGCTAGAGTGCTGGTAGAATTGCCTTGCAGGCCTTCAGGGTTACGGGAAAAGTTGAACCCTTTGGGATCAGATCCAGATCAATGTCCCAAGCCCCAAGGTTCAGAATTAGTCGCATGCCCCTCATAATAACCCCTTCCTGACAAGTTGTGATACCATGGTATATCTGTTAAAACAGGAAAGATAGCCATATTTTGCGAGAGGGGGCTTGTTCCGGGGTCGTGAACACTCCCTTGTCAGGAAGGACCTGAGCGTTGGGAAATGCACAGTGTAACCCCTCTTTGTACCTACAAAGGACCAAAAGGCCGAGAAGGGCATCCCATGACCCCTCTTGCGACACTCTTTTTTTCTGGCTGGATAACACTGGATAACAATGATTCCAAAACCTGATTTGGGACTCTTTGCTATGCAGCCCACCATGTGGAGGGAGGTCATCTGAGATTCTTGCAATTTGCATGGGTCAATACCCCCGCATGTTCTTCCATGAAGGTGATCTTGGAGCTTCCCGAGATCTGACTTCAGGGTGGAGGCTCACATCGGTTTCAGGGTTTATAAGGCTTTATACACATAGGCTTCAGGATTAAGAGTTTAAGGTTAGGTACCTGGGTTTCAGGGTTGAGGGCTTTTATACATAGGTTTCAGGGTACGGTTGTTAAAGTTGTTCTTGGCGCTTTTTTCCCAGAAGATCCTGAACATCTACTCTTTGAAGCAGGCCACCGACACAGAACCCCTTGAAGCCATGATCCTGTACCCTAAACCCCTAACCCCTAAACACTGAATCCTTAAACCCTAAACCCTAGGCCATGTTACATGTAGCACCAATAGGCATCCCAGTAAAGTCTGGGTACCAAAATGTAGCAGCCAGTGGAATATGAACATGAGATGGAAACTGGGGTTGCGTGGGGGGTTGTATCGGCTGTTAAAGAACTTGGAATAACTTACCATTACAGGGAGCCACAATAGTTACTACATATATATATATATGTTTAAGCTTTAGGTTTGGTAACTTGATTTCAGTTCCTTGCGGTAAGAAAGCCCAGAAGTGGAAGCCCCATACAAGAGCAAAGCAGGCAGGCTTTGTGAATGCCAACCATCCGCTACCATCTTGTACCATCTTGAAAATCCAGGTCGATATGAACGTTTTGAAAAATTAGGAGCCCTTTTGGGGGAGGCGCCCTGCAAAAAGGACTATATTTTGGGGTATGTAATACGGACCCTACTTGCTTGGCCATCCACTACGACATCTTCGCTGGTCCTGCTGGGTGCTCTTAGGATTTTTTTGGGGGGATCATTGTCCGTGCGCACGCCGACCGTGAGGTCGCAACCATCCGTCAGGATGCCGACCGCGAGGTCGAACATTTCCGACAGGATGCCGGCCAGGAAGTGCAAACATCCGTCAAGATGCCGACCGTACCGTGAGGTCCAAAACATCCGTAAGGATGCCGGCCGTAAGGTCGCAGAGGTCAAAACTGGCAGTGAGGCCGCTAAGCTCCCATATGAGCTATAGTCTAAACTCCTGGTATCCCCCTTAAGAAACCCGATGGTTCTGCCCCATATGTTCTCCTATATAACCCCCTTGAAGGAGTTTAGACCCTAAACCCTTATAGTCCCTGAACCGTAAACCCTCTGTACCCCCCTTTAAGGAGTTTTCACTACAGCTCATATCTTGGACTCAAGCAGTAGCAGTTGCGGAAGTGCTCTTGTAGAATTCATGCTCTATGGTTTAGGGTTTAGGGTTCAGGGTGTAGGGTGTAGGGTCAATTCTCTGGATCCAAATAGACCAATGCGGGTCACATTTACAAACTTGAGGGACCAGTGTAAGTATTCTTTGCATACTTGAACCCCATAAAGCATCTGTATTTCCCCAGCTTCCATGTCATCTCCATGTTCTTTTCCATGTGATTCTCCATTATTGACATTATTTGTATACTTGGATCCAGCCCTAAACCTGAAGTTTCACAGCCCCAACTGGGTTGCTGTTACGGCACTTCTCAAATTACAGTGAGGAAGCCGCATTATGTATTATTTACTATATATGGTAACTTGATTCAAACTCCTGAACCTCAACCCAGCCAACTGCCTGCAAACGCCAAACCCACCTGCCCCAAACCCTAAATCCTGGACCCTAAACCCTACTGCCTGCAAACCCTTTTCGCTAAATCTTAAATCCTGGCCTAAACCCTAAACCCTGAACCCCAAACCCAACTGCCTGCAAACGCCCTGGGTTGTGGCGCATCACGGACGCATCCAAGCCCCAGGAGTGCAACAAGCTCAGCACTGGGCCTGGCAAGGCGTGACATGTTTTCTTTGGGGGAGGGGGGGGGAAATTAGGGACACCTTTTAAGGGGTTTATAGGGGATATATAGTCATATAAGGATATGTTGGGTCGTTTAGAGGTTATAGTGGGTTATAGAGATATGATGGAAAAACAAATGCATAATGAAATGGAAATCTTAGTGTTGCTTAGTAGGGAATAAGGAAATGCAACATGTAAAGATGTCATAGGGAGTCTGTTCCCTTATTCCCTACTAATCCCCAATAATACTGATGTCTGAACTTGCGCTGCAACTCATGAAAACAGTCGTTCATGATGCTAGTACTAACATAGCAGAAGACATGTACGGTCGCCAGCTCCCACAGAAACGCTTCTTGGGGGCCTTTAAGGGCCTACCATCTGCAGCGTACTCCCGCGGACAGTAAGCAAGGTGGGGAGCACATGCTGGATGTCTGCTGGTGGCTTCTTGAATCCACCCTCTAGAATAGTGAGGAAACCGTCTCCCGCATGGTTGTGAACAAGGACAGGAAACTCAACACGAGTCAAGCGCGGTGGCCTTGAATGACACTGCCAGCACCTAATGCAGCTGGGGTTGAAGGTTTACAAGTGAGCACGTATGGCTCAGGTTGGGGGTTTTGGTGCAAAGGCTTAAAGCTTAGGAATTGTAACTTCATGACCTGGGCTTCAGCATGAGGACGGGAAGCTCCATTCTCAGGTTTCAGAGCTGCGCAATCTCAATGCAAAAAAAAGCATTGCCTTGGCTTCCTCTCAGTCATACAACATACGCCCTATGGCGGCCATAGCCTGGCGTTAAGTTCGCTGCCACTGGGGAATTGTTCGCACCTAGAATATCACGAGGAGGCTCTGCTTTGATGGACCGTTTCATTCGAATGCCGACTACAAGAACAGATCAGGGGGGATTGACCACAGGAAAAGAACACTTGCGGCTCGGGATCCGAAGACCTTGGGCAACGCTCAGACTCCGACATGCTCAGACAATACCGGGCTTGCGCTTTGACAGGCTTGGATGTTGAGGGAAAAGGCCTCGGCTTTAGGATTGGTGAGTGGAGGACTCAAGTGTCCTTAACTAGTTTGCATGTCATCTGCCAGAAGCGAAGGAAGGTTGATAGCTGCGGCCTTTTGCCTCGATCTTTTCAGGCATGGGGCCTCCCCAACTCGGAAATCTTAAGCCAGCTATCAGCAAACTCAAAGCCCTAGACTCTTTAAGGAGAGTACAGGGAGGCCGAGTACAAGACGAGAACTGTGATCCCCTGTGTGCGGGAAAAGCCGCTGCCGTTCTCCTTCGACGAGGAACCCTGGAAGCCCCAAGATTTGACTAGGTGGCTGTCTCACAATCAAGGTGATTTGAAGTGGGCCCAAAGTAAAAAGAGCAAAAACGCGCGACCTGACTGGGACCTGACTTCAATACGCACGTCTGCACTGCAGCGGCTCACGAATGTCCGTAAGCAGACGAGTTGCCATCAGACCGCGACTTACCTGGACAAATTATGTTTCTTTGTAGTGTATGGGGTTTACAGGTGGTTAGTAAGGAATATAATCCCTATGTAATCCCTACACAATAAATTCCATTATTCCATACTACCACGCAAGAAGATGGGGTTTACAGTTTAAGCTTGAATTCTCAGGTTTGTGACATGCGTCGGAATGGAGGTTGGGTCTGCCTTGTCCAGCTGAACCTGAAGGTCCTACTTTTCAACGTTGCCGCCTGGTACAAGGAGCCAAGAGCCAAGAGAGCACAGGGGAGCGTATGGGACGGTGTGCACAGGATTCCAGACCAGCTAAGAATTCTGTGACCTGGCACTAGCTTGGGAGTGTACGACCTCCAGTTGGTTGTGAAGCGAACCCTTCATCATCCCTGCGCAAACTCAGCCTTTCCAGACAAGCATCAGCATGATCTGACCGTTTCCTTTAACATCTCTCAGAACGTGAGCCCTCAGCTTGTTTTCGGGAAACCCCAGGCCCTTCATGTTTGTTGCTGTATCCATCTGCAAAACCACGGCGGCTCCCGCAAGTGTGTAGAAAAAAATCTCACTGCGGAAAACCAACAAGTGTTGCACAATCCCAAGACTTCCCAGACTGTGTCAAGCTCAAACCCGATCAGCTCCACGTGCCCTCTAAATCCCTTCGAAGGAGTCAAAAGCCAAAGCTGTGCCGCGTCACCCAAGCCAGTGACGATCACGAAGTTGCGGGATGAACTCGCTTCGAGCGCATCAGCAACAGCTCCTCCCAAGGTTTGCGTTCAATTTTCGAGTCCTCCTGTTCCGTCTGCTCTCACTCCCACTACTTATTCGGATGCGGTTCAAGGTGTAAAGCTGAAGACCAAGCCAGCGCTGCCACCGCCGCAGCTGCTGCGTGGCTCCTGCTCTTGCTTGCGTTCCCATCCCCGCTGCTGGCGCTGCTGCTGCGGCTGCTGCTGCCTTTGCCGCTCTACTTGCTACTGCCTCTGCAGCACTTTCTGCTGTTCCTCCTGCTCTCGGGTGATCGGCCGCATCAGCATCCTGATTGATCTAATGCACCCTGGTACTTGCTGTTCTCCTTGCTGACCGAACCGAGCTGGGATGCTCAGGGTATAGCATGCAAGCGAAAACCCTGAAAGAAACCAGAAAAACAAAGCATGTAATTAACATCGTAGTGAAGGCCAAAAAGTTGGTACAGGTCAAGATGAGGACTGCTACTTTTCCCTCTCAGGTAGGTCTCGGTCTGGTATGGTCTGGTACAGGTGTGTCAACTTTAACTCGCACCTAAAGTCTCATTATGAAACACCGGGATAGTATAGAGTTTTAGATAGGCACGACGTATGCATTATGTGGGGTTATGTAGGGTTTTATACAGGGTTTGTATAGCTATCACACGCGTTGAGGTTTGCGGTTCGGGGGTAGCGTGGGGCTGGGGGATTGATATCTTGCCACAACATGACATTGCTTTTGCTTACAGCCAGATGACCTTTGACCACGCTGACATCCGTTGCCACTAAACCCTAAACACCCTAAAGGACTGAAGAAGCTGTTAGGCCTCCTGATAGCCACCAGCGCACAGCCGCTAGCGCCGCCCCGACGGAGCAGCCATGCAGGTCAAGCGTGCCTGCTGTTGGACTAGGTTCAGGGTTTGGAAGGTTTATGCTTTAGATATCTTTGGGGTTATAGGGCTTAGGACTTAGAATAGACTTGCTTGATGCAGATATGCCAGTACATGGTGATTATCCTGCCATCAAGGAACTCGCTAAAATCGTTGCCGATTTCCAAGGATTGCCTATAAACCCTAACCCCGAACCCTTGGTGGTACTACACCTAATACCGACAAGTCAAACGGAAAAATGGAACTTACGGCACCGTAAGTGGTAACTGCGGCTGCATGGCTGTTTAGGGTTTAGGGTCATGGAAACTGGGGTTACATGAGCGTTTATAGGCGTTGTAGGGCAGGGGGGCCTCAATGATTACCAAAATAATGTTGAGGTATCATTGAGTTACCCTTCACCATAAATATGGAAGGAGCCATAAAGGCGATATCAGTTTAGGGTTTAGGTTGTGGGCCTGAGTGTTGTTTTGGACGTTGTTATGTGGGAGTTTCCAGAGATTAGGGTCCATGTATGGGAGCTTCCTATAATGATGAGTATGGTATATTTCAATAATAGGCATTAAGCCACAAAGCTGCCAAACTTAGTCTGGCCAATTTATGAATATCAACATGGAGCTGGGGCCGAGCTAAAAGCCATAATGCGTCATATCTCTTCTTCATAGCGAACTGGGGCCATCGGCTTTTTCTTGATGTCTGTCATGTGGGGTTCTGGCTGGTCATCGCTTGTTGTCCTTACCCTTTTGTGGGTGCTCGTCCACAGTCCAAACATGCTCGAGGTCTGGCTAAAAATCTAGGGAGCCGCTTCTGAATACCCTAACCCTAAACAATCCCAAGTGAGGAGTGTGACCTGCTAGGTGTCTGCGAGCTTGCACAACAAGATTCGGAGTTGTGGCGGGGTACCAGACTACCAGAAACGTCGCATGAAGCCGTGCAATCTTCAACACATTTGATACAAGTATCAACCCTAAGCCCTAAACCCTAAACCCTAAATTGCGAAAATTCAGTCCCATCTCTTTGGCACTTGGACCCTGCTGGATACGGACTGCTTGTGATAGTACGGTGGGAGAGCTTGAGGGTGGTAGGGTTTAGGGTTTAGGAAGAGACGTTAGCTTTGAGCGCGGACATGCACGTTGCCTTTTGCACCCGCTTGGGAGGACACGCTGCGGTGCCATGTTGCTGCTGGAAGGCTGTTCACCAAGGTAAGGCTCAACACGCGGTTTAGGGTTTAGGGTTTAGGGCTTAGGGTTCAATTTTCAGACCCTGTGGGTCCAAGTACCTACATATTTGGGGATGTTAGGTATCAAGGACCATTCAAAATAATTATGGCATTTGGGACCTGCGCCTCATTGTTGGGGTACTTGGACCCTTACAGGCCGAACCTGCTTGACGGACGGGGATGTGACAGCAACTAGACTACCCAAGGATTATGCTGGAGGCAAAAAGCGTGTATACGTCCAAGTATCCAGCTAGTACATGCGCCGTCTAGCTACCACTGATCCACTCCGCAGAACATTTCCCGGCCTGCACCGTGAAAGACCACTTCACCGACTGGGTTACAGAACAGGTTTCATCTAGCGAGCACTCGGGAACCTTCTTTCTGGCTCCCCTGCACACCCCGCCTTTCCAGACACCCGCGACTAGCCGTAACTGGAAGCACTTTGCGGCCTTCTTCAGAATGAATCAGGTTCGGGTAGGCACCCGATCGTTGCGCTGCGTCAAAGAGGGCAAACGACACCTCCTGGGCACAAATCCAGGATGAAGATTGGACACCTACGCTCGCTCATGATAGGGTTCCTGGCCTTATGCCAGTCCCTGTTATGCTGTAGGTTATCTTGCTCTACACCCCTCCTTGGATTCAAGGATTGCACTGCAGAAGTGCAGGTCTTCACCCAGAATGATGGCCCTTTTGAGTTCTTGGTGTGACTGCAACTTTCATTATTTGAGAGGCAGAACGTTACTTCTCCAATGCCATGAACCCAAGAAACTTCAGTCAGAACTGGGGGCTTCCTAACATGGGGGCCTAATACATCGCCGGGAAGAAAGCTTAGTCGCATGTACATGTCTTACATAGCGGAGGACTGCAAGGCTAATTCTCACGGGCCTGACCAGTAGAGGTATGATAAAACGGGTAAGCCCAGTACAGCTTAAGAAGTTGCAGTGCGACGAACGTTCCGCTCGCTGCAGAATGGACTCCAATTTTCTCTCATCCTCATTAATGCCAACCCCGGAAAGGGGCTCTGAATTTTTGGAAACCCATACCCCGAAGATCTTCATAGGCCGGCTGAGAGGAGGAGTCCCTCAGCTCCTGAGCTATTCCGAAAATAGGGATACGTCTATGGGGGTCCCCATGACAAGGATGATGTTAGCTAATTATGGAAGCTACCGTATACAAGGAAGGACTCATTTTGCCCTGATAACGGGGACCCTACTCTATCCCCAATACTGTCTACAGCAGGATACCACCCGACATACCAGAAAGCGAAGCGTCCTCGTCGCGGACCGCATCCAGAATAGAGTTGTAGAGCTCCAGATCAGGGCCAAGGACCCTGGTGGGCTCCAGGAACAGAAATTGCAGGGTGCGTTTCTTCTACCCGGCTTTGGCAGGGTCAGCCAAGAATTCATGGCGCAGCTGTCAGGATCCAAAATACGACTTATGTAACTGCGGGCAACTTGGGTTCCAAGTCGGTAATGTAGGGATAATGGAGATAAAAATGGAAACTACTACAGTATATAGGGGTTATATAGGGATAATGGAAAATAAAATGGAAACTACTATAGTATACTTTGAGTCATAGACCCAGGTTTTTTTCCTTCTGCACCCATCCCACCTTGTCGCGGTCTGGAAGATCTCCAGGCTCCTCTGCCAGGTCGATTCCTGGGTGCACCTCAGCAAGGCAACAGCGGCAGCGGCAACAGCCTACCAGGAAGGGTCAGTAGGACTGTGTCAGGAAGTTTTCCTTTTTTCTTAGGGATAGCTGGGGTCATCATCGCAGTATATCACTTTTGGGCCTTTAAGATTGCACGCATACCTACTAAGACCCCTCACCCTGGACATGGTCCTTGCCACAACCTCCAAGAGGGCGCTCTAGTTTCGAGACGTAATTTCTGAAGCGATAGCTAACACACGCGGCAAACTGAACACCTCACCTTCCGAGACTTCCCAATTTTCTAAAGAAAAATTAAGCCCCCGCCCTCTACCCCCACATAGCCCGGGGATCCTTGCTTTGCTTCCCGCATGGAATATTCCGACGACACCAGAACGGAACTCCGAAATATCTCCTCAAACGTGAGCCCTGAACCCCATAAAACCTAAACCCGAGGCCCATAAGCCCTGAACCAGACATGACACCGAAAGAACCCCCCAAAGGTGGCGGGACACGAGAGCATTGCAACAGAGTAAGACGCCGTGTCGGGACGAATTCGGGTCCTGGGGGCGCAACACAAGTAGGAATTAGGAACCTCTAGTCCAGGGTGGAAACCATGGGTCCCTGGCATGGGCCCTTAATTCTGGAAACCTCATATGCCGACCATATACCCCATATTAGATACCATTAAGAGTATGAACCTCCATTACAGCTCAAGGTTTCGGGGTTTCACAATTGTAGCGGGTTGGACTTGCAGGACTTAGGTTCAGGACGTTAAGTGTGTTGACGGTTCAGGGTTTATGGAAAGAGTATGGCAAGTGTTTTCAGGGTTTAGGGCTTATGGTTCGAGGGGGGATGGTTTGGGCTGGGTTTGAGGATGTTGGAGTGAGAAGGGTGCGGCAAGCCTGGCCATAAGGATATCGAAATCCGAAAGGATGGAATGCTGTGTCGACTTAGGACACCGTATTGACAATTGCAGGTGCTACAAATTGCACCCAGCTTCGGCTTTAGGCTTTGGGATTGGCCTCTTCCAGAAGCACCGAAAGCAATGCCGTGTTTGGCACCCAGTTCAGTTGGCGGAAACTGGCTCGGAAAGCTGACAGCCCAACATGCATTCTACTCCAACAAGCAATGAGAGGGCCTGCATGGCCTGCCAAACTGAATCTGAGAGGGTCTAGATACCCTGGAAATCTTGACCCGTTGCCCAACGCCCAGAGTCTAGATGAGTCACGCTTGCCATCCACGGATCTCGTTAACACGCAAGCCTGCTCTAATCACCACTTCTCAGTCCGCAAGCTATGCTTATTCGCATTTCGACTTCCCATGAAAATTGTCCGATTTCTTTTTGACAGGCATCGTCGCCATGGACCCCAGCAAGAGCACAGCCCATTCCCACTGCCCGCCCTTCTCCTTGGATTCGCATCTGAGAATTTTCTAAAAGCCGGGGCCCCTAGGGAACCTAAATTTTGACGGGAACTGCAGATGGATTCTGGGGGGAATAATCCTGAGAAGCTCTCCTATGCATTGTGGACTTCCTTTCAAGTTTGCAAAAGGTTTGGTGCAGGCTCTGTGCTCAGACCCTGGGGGGAAGCAGATCTGCCCACAAGAGTTCTGAAAACTACCCTGGCTGAGTCTGTGGAAGAGGTGTGTATGATTTTGCGGTGATCTTGGCATATGACAGAGCCTGTGTCACAATTTGACTACGCCTGAGCTGAGTGTTTGCAAGGGTCCGCTGCCTGCCCTACTTCATCCTCAAGGTATGCAAGAACCTTGTGGGAAATCTGAGCACGAGGTGGCAGCAGTATGCTTGGAATTTCCGTTGGAGGCAAGGATGTTGGGCAAAATCACAAAAGAAGCGCCCACTCCACGAAATGTGGCACACCAAATCATTACTCTCTTGTGCATTAAAGCCCGTGGAAAATCGCTTCAGAAATTGAACCTTCAGTCGGACATGCGCAGAAATCTTGAAGAACTTCTCAGATCCGGTCCCAGGGACCTCACTACAACTACAGGTACGGTCTATCAGCTATCAAGCAGACGATGGTCCTCCGGAGGGTTCAATGGGGCTTGCGGAATGGCAAATAGTCTAGTTTGCTGCGAAGGAACTCGAAATAAGTTACGGGAAAGGGCTACACACGAAATGAAACTATGGTTTCTCACTGTGGTAAGTCACTTTAAAAATGTTTAGCAGGAACCCAGCACTTGGTCCGACCAAGACACGCACTCACTGTGGTAAGTCACTTTAAAAATGTTTAGCAGGAACCCAGCACTTGGTCCGACCAAGACACGCAGGCGCTGAGGGCAGCGTTATAGCTGATCAGGTCCTGAAAGCTTAGTCTGCACCAAGTGCTGAGAGAAATGGTAGTTTCCCAAAATAGGGCGGCCCCAATATAGCCCTCCAAAACAGCATAACCCTTATCATGGGGGGGCCCAAGACAGTACCCCGACTTGTCCATGTGGTTCTCCATTATTGGGCTTGAATATAGCCAAAGACACAAACCGCAGCGTTGAGCAAAGCTCAGACGTGAGGTTAAAAGACATGCTCACGATATCCTTACCAGTTCCCAGCAATAGTAGCTATTATAAGGGGTAACCTGTATTCCTTGCCAGGGGTTCTGAACCCTAAAGACCACGCCCCAAAACCCTTTTCCCCAAAGTCCAGACCTTTTTGCCCCTGATGTCGTTTCTGAAGTTTGCACGCAAATTTTCAAACTACAGATTCAGGATCCCATGCTGAAGGCGTCTTCTCATCATGGAAGGGGGTCACGGTTGGAAACTTTCGTCTGTTTACCCACACATCTGTAGCTTAAGATGCCAGTGCCCTTCCGGAAAAGTCGGATAATGTTGGATAACGTTGGATAGTTAGGATGGGTCGTGTGTGTCAACAGAAGCACGAACATTTTTCGACCAATGTTTCGGACAGAATCCTAAGCAGCACGCTCAGCCCGACAGGATGTCTTCGGCCCCGCAATTATATAGGGTGTATGGCCTTATAATGGAGAATAGAATGGAAAAGAAAACGGAAAATGAAATGGAAACTGGGATTATATAGGTGTTATTTGAGTAATGCTAAACGTCCTGAATGACCTTAACCTAGCATGATCTCATAGCTCCCAGCGTATAAGGTACCTAAGATCGTGCACGGTTTGCCGTATGAAACCTTTTCAATCGCTACGCAACCCAAGTTTCTGTGCAACTTTCCATGCTCTTTTCCATTTGGTACAATATTGGGGTAGACTATGCCCAAAATATAGTCTCCTTAAGTAGATAGAATCTGGGGTATATGGGGATCTTATTATTAAATACCCAAAGCCATATTCTATCTACTTTCGGGGGACTATAGCCCCTAAACCCTAAACCCTATATAACCCACTATAGTACTATCCATTTTTCCATTCTACCCATGTAACCCCACTATACTAGACTGGTTTCCAATTTCTTTTCCATTAAACCCTAAGTCCAAGGTAGGGGCATCAAACCCAGGGCTTCTGCTGAAAGGATGGGGTGTATAGGGTTATATAGGAATCATAAAAGGATAATGGAAAATAAAATGGAAACTACTATTCAGGGTGTAGGGTTTGACTTCAGTTCTTGAGCCTCAGAAACGCGGAAATGTTTGAGGCTTAAGATCACAGCCCTCATTTCTGAAACCGTACTCGACCTAAACCCCTAAACCCTAAGCCCTAAGCCCTAAACCGTACCCGACGCGCAGCGCGATTCATTTGTACTCTAATCTCGGGAGCCCGTTCCAAGTCATCTCCCCGCCTTGCCCCAAAACCGGTGGTTATTGGGGTTATATTGGGAGTATATTGGGGTTATATTGGGATTATGTTGGGGTTATATTGGGGTTATAATGGGGTTATATTGGGATTTACATTTCCTGCAACCTTCATCTCCCACTCACATGACCTCTGCAGCCTGAATCTCGACCTCCTAAATGGCCGAAAATAATAACTACTACCTGCGCCGCCCAACGTTTCTCTTAGTTTTTGACCTAGACACACATAAACTCTGCAATGCTCAAGCTCCCTTCTAGATCCCCGTGGAATGATTCCTGCCATGAAAATGACAATAAAGGTCCCGTGACCAAAGAAACTTAACCCTATGAAGCCTGAAGCCTGAACGCTAAACCCTACAAAACCTGACAAATACCAACTCTAAAAGCCTACAAAACCTCGCCACCAAAACGACTAACCGTTCTTAGACATCTCTATCTCGAAGCCTTCTATGCTCACTGTGCGCTGTGAGAATTCAGCAACTCCTACCTTCCTGTAGATATGCGTGACCAATCCAGATGCCACACCGCCAGATCCAAGCCCCATAGTCCCCCTTAAGTAGATAGAATACGGGGTATATGGGAAGTTTAGTCTAACATACCCAAAGCCATATTCTATCTACTTAAGGGGCACTATAATCTCAACAACACACTCCCACAAGTGCAGCCCTGCCACAGGCCGCGCTTTCGCAGCCGGCATCCCATGCAGTAGTCTCAAGGCCGACTGCCACCTGGAGGTTTTCTTGTGGGTTTGGGGGGTTCAGGGCGTATGTAGGGTTTGGGAGTCGGTGCTTAGGGTTCGGGGTTTGGGTTCAATGTCGTTGCTATGAGGAACATTGGACAGACAGGGCTTACTGAGGCCTTCTGTGGGTGATATTAAGGGCTTAGCACTTTGGATTCTAGGCACGGTAACCCTCGATAACGCTTAGGGTTCGGGCTATGGTTCGACACAGAGATTAATTAGAGCAAAAGCTAGGTATATCCACGGGTCTTGAAGCAGTTGCATAGCAAGGGACAGCGCACAGGCAAAGCAAACAACCAACTTTGGTTTCACCAGAGGAATACCTTCAGCGACCTTGGGGACTATCATGTTTCAGGTTCGCGGGCCTTTACCTGAAAACTCAAGGACCTTTAAGCTTCATGTCTGAAATCCTATCACATTCCTCCTTTGGATCTTGATGGCGCCCCTAGACGGCCCTGAGGGTCAGTCAATGCAGCAGTGAATTGGTCGCATGCCTTCTACATTTTCCATACGGTTCACAGATAGCTCACCTCTCAACTCCTACCCTACACTGCAATTCGCCACTATACAGGCTCCAAATGTTGACGAACGAAATCTGCTGGCAGCTGGGCTAGTTTGCTACGCATCTCCTGGGGGGACTTACTGCTGCCAAGTCACTGAATACCTTTCTGGCAGGAGGTGATGGTGGAGTTATAGCCTGGCTTTAGCCATAAACTTTCAGGGAGCGGTCAAAAGAAGTAGAATCAAACGCATGCGGTCTTGGTTTCAGGGGATCTTCAGAAGTCAAGCAGATCCTCTGCCACAGCGGCTGTACAAGCCTAAGATCGCCAAACCCCCTTTCCACAACCAATTTACAAGAAGTCGAAGACCAGCTAGCCCCCTTACCCCGTAGCCTTGCAAGCAGCAGGCCCGGAAGGGGAGCAGTAGAAATAGAAGAAGGTTGCTGTCATTATTCAAAATCATTTGAATACTCTTACTCTTATTGATGTTGCTGCTAGGAACGTTATTCTTATGAACTACTGTTATTGTTCTTTTCCTTGCTGTTCTTACTGCTATTACTACTATCGATATTGTTTTCAATTACAAGATCCCCCTGGCTTGCGAAGGCCCCACCAAGCACGGGGATCAAACAGTAGCAGTGCTCAGGATGAAAGCTTCATTCAAGTGCCCCATGCCCAAGCGCATCATTTGCGTTATGAATATATATATATAATCCCCCTTAAGTAGATAGAATATGGCTTTGGGTATCTACTTAAGCGGGACTATAACACCAAGGACGGTGATAACATAACAAATTAGCCCATGTAGTTCAAAAACATAACAAATTAATCCAAATCATTCGAACACGCGTTAACATGTTGAACACCCATCTCTAAGGCAAATCCATGAACCGTAAGCATGCAATCCTCAGCTTAAGGAACAGAACCTACCAACCTCAGCCGCAACGCTAATTTCAGACCTTACTTGCTCTCAGCAGGGAATATGGGGTTAGCTATAATATATAGTGGTTATAGAGGGATAACCTTCCCTGCTTCCCTACTAAGAACCAGAAAGACACACTAAACCATCTGAGAGTGCTCCCAAAATCCCATAATATCAATGGTTCTTAGTAGGGCATAAAGGAAAATACTCCCTATGTAACCCCTCCCTTATTCCCTACAACCCCCGTGTAAGCAATTTGAAACATCCTTAACCCAAACCTTGAATGGGTTTCCTCAGGCATAACATCCAGTGGAGCACTTCCCTGTCCCGTAGCCAAACCCAAACCCCGACCACACCATCCCTAAACCTAACCCATATAGTGATTCCACAGCGTTTCCATTGCCTTTTCCATTTGGTTCTCCCTTCAGGCATCCCCAAATACCTTCACAGGTCATGTTTCCCCTAAACAAGCGCACAAACCGGCTATTGGGGAACCCAAGTTCGTGGGGGTACCACATTGGAATGAGGCAAGATGCTGATTAAATCCGGCGGGATAGTCTCAGCCTTCATGTCCTGAGCGCGTCTGAGTTGCGGTTGCGCATGCGGGGCATTGCTGCGAGTCTTTTTGACAAACAAAGGCTCCGGCAAGAGGCTGATCCCTATACACAGTCCCTAGGAACACCCGGACACCCTGGGTAGTCCCTCCAGAACCTAGGCAGGAACATAAGTACACATCATTTCCCTTTTCGAATTTGGTCATTGCTTTCGGCTTTCTGAGACTGCTCTTCGTTCCGAAGCTTTTGGGCCCAAGGGCTCTGTGGATTTTGGATGACAAGTGATATGGTGGGTTCCCTCAAATAGGGACTCCTTACCGGGCCCCTCAAAAATGGTTACCTCAATTTTGAGAAATCCTAAAGCCTAAACCTTACTGTACATATTCCCACTAATTTAGGGAATCCCTACATATCCAGATACCCCCAACTAGCCCTAATTTTGGGAAGCCCTAATCCCCATATATCCCCATCTACCCCTAACTTTGTGGAATCTCTGACAGTTTCCCAAAATAGGGGGACCCCAATATAGACCCCAATATACTATAGTCCTTATTACGGGGACCCCCAAAAAAGGTACC